ATATAGATGTTATTGCCCCTAATTTGAAAATGGATGTGTGCATGTAAGTTGCTGATTCTTTTTTTTTTTTTTTTTTTTCCTTTTTGTAGAACTGCAGACAGTGGCGGCTGATATGTTTGGCATGGAGGCAGCTTTGTTTGTACCCACAGGAACCATGAGCAATTTGATTGCAGGTAAGATCTATAATGTATAATGTAAAAATGAACTATGTTTTTCACTGTTTCTCTCAGAGGTAGACTGGAGACTCACATTGAAATGCCTTGGGTGTCTGACAGGGTCGCTTCTTAGCTATGGAGCTTGTATCATGCTACATTAAATAAAATTCTTTTTTTTCCTGTGGTATATTTAATACATTTACATTTTGCCAATGTTTTTTTTTCTTTGGTTTAACTTTAACATTTTGCCTATTTCATATAAAATCTGTATTTTTGAAATTTGTATATTGGGTTCTGATTTAAAAAAAAAAAAAAATCTCAATGTATGTCTGTTGTTAAGGTTATTAGCCCAGTAAAACTACTTAGTGTGCATAATTGCTGTGAAGCGGCTCTGAAGATGCATCTGGCATAAAAGGCTATTTTAATTACTACAAGAATATAGTGGCAGAGGCATCATTACTGCTTCAGTGGGCTTTTAACTTTAATACTAGCAAATGGCTCCATCACCTTGCTTTTAAACACAAAGCGAAAACAAAGACAGAAGAGCCAAAAGGTTTTTGGCACTAATAACACAACTAATAACATTATTCACTAATAACAGTAATAACAGTAATTTTAGATAAAGAGATAAGTAAGATAAGTAATAAGTAATTCTAGATAAAGATTTTTGGTTACAACTTATAATGTCGTATAATGTCGGCCCTTCCGGACTACTCAAAGCCTGTTAGATTACAAGCTGAGCTCATACTTAACACTCCTGTTGTGTTCTGGTCAAATTTGACTGATTTGGCATTATCATAACTATAGTTTCTCTTATCTGACATAAAGCCTGGCATGAGGCTCAATGACGTCATCCAGAATATGAGTCTAAACACATAAAAATTAATGATAATGAGTTTTGTTGACTTTTTAGTAGATTGTTCAAATTTTCTGCTTCCATGGTGTTCCGGTCAGATCTGACCAGCCAGATGCAGAATAAAAATCTTTTCTCTCTCTCTCTCTCTCTCTCTCTCTCTCTCTCTCTCTCTCTCAGACACACACACACATACACACACACACACACATGCACAAAGTTAAAATCTGGGTTACCAGGGTTGTGGTTTTTACACTAGTTTTGGAACAAAGTTGCGGGGGGAAAAAGCAAATTTGCGTTTTTCTGGGCTAGTTTAAAAATTGTCCGCAGCTGCCAAGATCTTGTTTTAAAGCAAATAATCAGAATTAAATCTAATTCATTTATTCAAACATAGGCTATGGCAAACAAAGGTGATATGTAGGTGTGAACAGAGAATATATGATGTACAGTACCAGTTATGGAGATTATGGAGTGTCTGTATTAGGTGATGACAAAAAGAAATATTGCAAATCAAAAAAGGACTGAAAAATGTAGAAAAATCAGTCTCCCTTTTCCAGTGCCAGAATTTCTTGGGCTAGTGTTTGGTCTTTTTATGCAGTATTTTGGATGTAGTTGGGCTGAACATTTTGCTGAGACCTGGCACCAGTTATATTTTTACATCCCAAAGAATGTCAGAAAACTAGCAAGATCAGCCAAAAACACATTTGCACTGTCCATGCCATTGTGACTAAACATTGCCACCCATGTGCATGCAAACAAATGGGACTGACTGAACTTGTTACATTTGGAAAATAAATGTTGATTTTATTTTATTTTTTATGAGGCATTGTTCATCTGCCTTATAATGTGATTGAATGTATGCAGTTTGCAAAGCAAGTGAAGTTTTGTTGTTTAGGTCACTCCTTGGCACTTTTCATTTTATCTTTTAACCTGATTAAATTTGTAATGCTTAAAAAGCAAGTACTTGGCTAAACTTTGATATAGCAGTCTAGCCTGTCGGTCTTTGATAATCACTCAACAAGGGTGGTGGTCTAATGTACCCCAAATAAAACATAAATTGTGCTTATTTTACTCATAAATTAGTGCTATAATTTCACATATGTGAGATTAATAAATTCCAAAAAAGAATGCAAATTTGCTTTTCCTGTTACTAATGGGGTTGCTTAAAAGGTTTAATGCAAGAACTGATGATGATAAATATTTTTAAAATGCTTTATAAACAGTTTTAAGGGGCCTGGCCAATTTATCGTTTTCACTTTCAGTTTTTAAGTCTCTTTTTAGATGAAAAATGTAAATTTAGTACTGTGTTAACAAATTCAATCCAAATTTAGTTTTGCAGCTCTCACTGCACATTTCTTTCTTTCTTTCTTTCTTTCTTTCTTTCTTTCTTTCTTTCTCAGTCATGGTGCACTGCAGAGAGAGGGGGGATGAGATGATAGTGGGGGATCTCTCTCATCTGCACATCTATGAGCAGGGAGGGAGTGCACAGGTATGGTTCACAGAGACTGAATCACAGAAAGCATACATTTATGTGCCATGTGTTTAATTTTGGTGTTGATTTACATCATAATGTGTTTGTGTTATTGCTGCATCGCCATTCTAAATCATAATTTGGTAGCTGGATAATTAAATAATCTTACCTCAACCCTTTATCATTTGATTGTTTTGTTGCTCCAGCATGAGCAGAAGTAAGTATGTGTTTTCTGAAGTATGCCATATTATCCGAGTGTGTGACTGTCATGTGTTGGACGCTGATGAAAGGCACCTGCTCTGACTCATTTCTCCAGCTTGCTGGTGTACACTCCACCACACTCACGACTCTGGCCGATGGAACGTTTGATCTGGAGCAGCTAGAATCAAAGATCCGCCATGACTACCCTGATGCACACTACCCCCGCTCACGCCTGGTGTGTGTAGAAAACACACACACCATCATGGGTGGACGTGTTCTCCCTGTCTCCTTCCTGCAGCAGGTTAGAGATATTGTATTATAAAATACATTTATACTAGTCACACTTTAATTCCAATTAAGTCATTTCGTAAATGGAATGACAAAGATTAGCACAGATTGTTGATAAATCAGTTTATCTCTGGTGGTGTTAACATGGTCTGAACTCTTTTCCTGTCAGCTGCACTCTATAGCAGATAAGTATGGACTTGCTGTGCATATGGATGGTGCAAGGCTGATGAATGCAGCAGTGGCACTGGGTGTGCATCCCTCTGCCATACTCAAACACTGCCACACAGTCAGTGTGTGTCTGTCTAAGGTAAGGGCACTACTCACTGATGGTGGCTTCTGTTAAAATCCTAAAATATAAGAAAGCGTGGTTTTTATCTTCCATAAAACTTGGATGAATAGAATATTCCAAGCATGTTTATCTAATGCTTTTATGTTAACATTGTGCATGTATCAACGCAA